TCTGAACACTCACACAGGCACACACACCCTTCCCACTAACTACAGCTATGGCAGCTATGGCTGCCTCTAACCTATCGCTATGCTAACTCCTCCTCCGACATTGCTACTAACCTATCGTACTTACTAAATCTATCCACGATGACGAAGATGTGTCGCATCCCACTCTTGCTGGTGACCAGAGTATCCATGAAGTCCATGGACAGATTCTCTCCAAGCTGTTCCGGAATCGGAAGGGGCTTCAAGAGCCCAAGAGAAGCCTGCGTACGTGGCTTGTCCCTCTGACAGACTTGACAAGTCCCCACGTACAGCTGGGCATCTCGCATCATCGTGGGCCACCAAAACCGCTGCAGCAGATTAGCTGCGGTCTTCTTGTACCCAAAATAGCCGGTGGCATCATGACATTCACCTAAAAATAAACTACGCAAAGACTCGCTATTAGGGACACACAATCGTTTATTCCCTGCCTTCTCAAGGAACAGCAAGCCATTGACCAATTCAAACTCGGCAGAGGTCTTCTTGTCCTTTGCCTGGAGTTTGCGTATGATCTCATACATGAACTGGTCCTCGCGATAGGCTTCCACCAAGGACTACTTAACATTGTCCGTCAGATAGAACTCAGTAATCAGCGCACCTGAGAAATCAGGTCTACGCGACAAGGCATCAGCAACCTTGTTGTACTCCCCTTTCAGATACTGAGGGTCAAAGTCATATTGCTCAATGACTTCGATCCAACGCTTGAGAGTGTCAGAGAGGACCGACTGAGTTCTCATCCACCTTAGGGTATGATGATCAGTCCTGAGGATGAAGAACCTCCCAAGGAGATAGTGCCTCCAATGGGTCAGAGCCTTATACACCGCATAGAGGTCCTTCTCATAGGTGGACTTAGCCAACTTCTGAGATGGCATTTCTTGGACATGTACTCTACAGGCCTCAACTTTGCCCCCTCCTACTGCGCGAGCACGGCGCCAATGCCATATTGGTTGGCATCCGTGGTGACTATAAACAGCTTATCAGGATCAAGAAGTTTCAAGACCTAGTAGTGCGTCAACGCATGCTTCAGATGTCTGAAAGCAGCCTCACACTCATCTGTCCACTCCCATGGGGAGTCAAGGCGGGTCAGATCAGTCAAAGGAGCGGCCACTATGCTATAGTTCTTAACGAAAGTCCTATAGTAGCCTGTCATTCCTAAGAAAGATCTCATCTCAGTCACAAACTGAGGACGTGGCCAATCACGAATGCTGGCCACCTTCGCGTCATCAGGCTTCAACCCTTCCGCGGATATCTCATGACCCCAGTACAAGACACGAGTGCGGCCAAACTCACACTTCTCACCGTTGATCTCGAACTTGTGCTGTCGCAGGAGACTGAGGACTTTGTCCAAATGTGCAACGTGCTCCTCGACAGTCTTACTAAAAATAAGTATGTCATCGAGGTACACGATGACAAACTTATCCAAGTAGTCATGGAATATCCGATTCATAGCGTGCTGAAAGGTGCCAGGAGCATTGCAAAGGCCGAAAGGCATCACCACAAACTCGCACAGACCGTACCTGGTATGAAATGCGGTTTTGTGTTGATCCTAGGGACGGATTGCAATTTGATGGTACCCGGACTTCAGATCTATCTTACTGAAGTACCGACACCCTTGCACTCTATCTAGCAGATCATCGATACGCGGTAGGGGCTCTCTGTTCTTTAAAGTGATGGCATTGAGGCCCCTATAGTCAATGCACATCCTAAGTGCACCCTCCTTCTTCTTAGGTACGAATAGTACTGGAAATCCATAAGGAGAGACACTCGGCCGGATCCAACCCTTCTCTACGAGTTCCTTGAGTTGTCAGCGAAGCTCATCGAGCTCGCCTGGAGACATCCGATAGATCCTACCCTTCGGGATACTAGACCCTAGATCTCTATCGCGTGGACGACCTCCCTCTGTACAACCCTTGTCGGCTCTTCAAATAGATCAGGGTACTTGGCAACTACTCTCTCTATCTCCGGCGGCATTTTCACCAGCTCGCTTGCAACAAAGACATAGACTAGGTACATACCCTCCTCCTGATTTTGCTTATAATAATTATAGAACGCGGCCGCACACATGCATCCATGGGACTCGATCAGACTACTAGCTTTGAACTTGTGCAATCTGGCGGTCCCTCCACCTGGCAAAGAGTGCTTGACCACTTTTCGGTCCAAGTCAAACTGGGGTTGAGCCAGAGAGAGGTAGTACATTCCTAGTAACATATCCATTGGGAGTTTGTCACTCACTAGGAACGAGTCGCGATGTCTCAATTCCCCTCCCGCGTACGGGAAGCAACACTCAACCTCCTGGAGGTAGTCATTGACTACCATGCGTTGTTTGTTGGCACAGGTCGACTCAGGCGCTGCACTCGCCCCTGTAAACGCAACTTCTCAACGCACGCGCAACTAATAAAGTTCTTTGTCGAGCAAGTGTCATAATAGGCCCCGGCCTTGCGGCCCCATCGTGGGCGAGATCTTATCGGTCAGAAGAACTAGCCACGTTGCTACCAACGGGATGGGAGGATCCCAACACCTGCCCCATCGTGGGCGAGATCTTATCGGTCACCTTCTTATTGCGACACTTGAACTGGTTATGGCCATATTGGCCACAATGAATACAAGCCTGCCGTGAATAACGATCTCTTCGCACGTCCTCTGTAAGACCCGCTTTCTCCCATGGAGGAGCATTGGGTCAACTTGACTCCTAGACTGGGAACCTCCACGGCGTCTACCGGTCGCCTTACCTTTCTGAGTTACAGCAGCGACTACTCCACCCCCTGAAGCTTCTACGTTGCCTGCCTCTGAACCTACTCCCTCCTGGAAGTTGTCGTCTATCTTAATAGTAGAACAATCGTTATCGACAAACATTAAGCGAACCTTCGCCTTCCAGTTGGGAGGCAGTGTCTTCTTCCTTCCATCCGTAGTGGGTGCCTGTCCATGCCCTATCTTCGCCTCAAGGTCTAGGGCATCTTGCTAAACGAAGGAAAGTTGTGCATATTGATGTTGGCCTGAATTGCCAACTGGCTCCTGAGAGGCAAAGAGAAGCATCTCACGTACGAGGTAAGTAAAACCTAGACGTCATAGCGCACCCAGGGACACAGATCAGACGCTCAACAGCGTCGGTGGCTTCCTTTACTGACTTAAACTGCCTCGTTTGCAGTGTCAGGATCGCATC